TATAGATTTACCTGTTCTGGATGTTTCATATAAATGGAATCATACAATTTATGACCTGTGGTGTCTGGCTTCTTTCAATTATCATAATGTTTTCAAGATTCATCCAACATCATGGCATACATCAGTACTTCATTACTTTTGTTGGTTGAATGGTATTCTATTGTATGGATATACCAAATTTTGTTTATTCATTCATCCGTGAGTGGACATTTGGCTTGTTTCCACCTTTTGGCTATTGTGAATAGTGCTGCATCGATGTACAAATATCTATTGAAATACCTACCTTCAGTTTTTTTGGGCATATTCCTAAAAGGGAAATTGCTGGGTCAATTGGTAATAGTATGCAAGTTTTTGAGGAACCTCCAAACCTTTCCACAGTGGCTGCACCATTTTACATTCCTGGTAGCAGCGTACAAGGATTCTAGTTTCTCTGCATCCTAGTAAAGTCTTATTTTCTTTTTCTTTTTTTTATTGTAGCCATCCTAGTGAGTATAAAGTGGTATCTCATTGTGATTTTGATTTGCGTTTCCCTAATTATTTGTGTTGGTCATCTTTTCATGTGCTTGTTGGCTTTTGTATATCTTCTTTGGAGAAATGTCAAAAATACTTTGCCCATTTTTTGACTATATAGAAATGAAAATTTGTTGTCTATCTCCTGTGATTATATCCTCACTTTCGCCAAATAATTCACAGAGTTTTATAATTCACAACAGAGAATTAGTGCTATGACTTCCAGAATATTCTTCTTGTATGTTAGTGTCAAAATTCTTTCAAAGGAAAGAATACTAGACAATTTTCTGTTACATGGTGATATTAATGACAGTGACTCTGAGACTAAAAAACTTGCTTTTCTTGTTTGGGAAATGCTTAATTGAGAAATGCCAAAGTTGTTGACACTAAAGAATGATTAGTTAGAGGATCATGGTCAGAGATAGTGGTGGCCAGGACACTTACGACTAGTAGGAAGAGGGAGGGAGTGAAATTCTTGAGCTGAATAATCAGGGTATTTCCTTTGAAGCTTCTTTCTGTTGTTTTTTTCTGCTTTAAAAACTGCTTGTGTTATTGCCAAAGAGTATTATTAACTTCAAAGCCAGGAGTCCATTGCCCATTTTTAATTTTTTTGGTCTTTTTGTTGACTTCTAAGACTTTCTTATATATTCCTAATATTAGACCCTTGTCAGGCAAATGATTTACAAATATTTTCTCCCATTCAATGGGTTACATTTTTACTTTCTTCATAGTGTCCTCGTAAATTTGGTAAAATTCAATTTGTCTATTTTTTCTTTGGTTGCTTATGTTTTTGTTGTTATATCTAAGAAGCTATTGCCAAATCCAAGGTCATGAAGATTTATTCATATGTTTTCTTCTAAGAATCTTACAGTTTATAGGTCTTACATTCAGGTATTTGACCCATTTTGAGTTAATTTTTATATATCATACGAGATAGGGGGCCAACTTTATTTTTTTTGCATGTTGATATCCAGTTGCCCCAGCACCATTTGAAGAGTATATTTGTTTCCCATTGACTGTTTTTGGCACCTTTGTCAAAAGTTGATTGACCATGGGTTGGATGAGTTTATTTTTGGACTCTCACATTTATTCCATTGATCTAGATGTCTATCCTTATGTTAGTATCACATGTTTTGATTGTTGTAGTTTGATAGTAAATTTTGAAATAGGTAAGTGTGAGTCCTCCAGTTTTATTTTTCCTTTTCAGGATTGTTTTGCCTATTCAGGGGAACTTTCAATTCCATTGACTTTTAGGATCAGTTTTTCTAGTTTTGAAAAAAAGGCCCTTGGGTTTTTGATAGGGATTGCAAAGAATCTGTAGATAGCTTTGGGGAGTCTTCCCATCTTAACAATATTAAGTCTTTTAATCCATGGACATGGGATGCCTTTCCTTTCATTTAGGATTTCTTTAGTTTCTTTCAGGAATATTTTATACAAGTTTTGTGCTTTTTTGGTTGAATTTATTTCTAAGTATTTTATTCTCATTTATGGCATTTTATTTTTTTATTTTTATTTTTTTAATTTTTTTTTATGTTTCTCTCTCTTTTTTTTTCTTTCTTTTTTTTTTTTAATTTATTTATCATTATTATACTTTAAGTTGTAGGGTACATGTGCATAACGTGCAGGTTTGTTACATATTATGGCATTTTAAATGGAATTGTTTTCTTAATTTTGTTTGTAGATTGTTCATTGTTTGGAAATAAAACTTATTTTTATATAATTTCCCTGTACCCTACAACTTTAGTGAATTAGTTTATTAGCTCTAGTAAGTTTTTTTGTATTCTTTATGATTTTCTGTATATGTGTAATCATATTCATTTACAAATAAAGATATTTTTTAGAATTACTGGTTTTTATTATTCTGATGACAGTGAACTTTGGGCAGTGTTCTTTGTGTGTTTCTGCTCAGAGGTCATTGAACTTAGGGGGTTTGTAGTTGTCATGATATTTGGAAAATTTTTGGCCATTTGTGTGTGAATGTTTTCAGTCACTCTCCATATCCCTTTCTGGAGCTCCAATTAAATATATGTTTGACTGAGTATTTGTTCATTTTATTTTCGTTTTCTTTCGCTCTGTGGTTCATTTGGCATGGTTACTGTTGATAAGGCTTCAGGTTAACTGACATTTTCTTCTGCAATGTCTTTCTCTTCTGTTAATGCCACTCAGTGAGAATTTTATTTTAGATGATGTATGTTCTATCTATAGATGTCACATTTAATTCTGTTTCTTAAGTTTGCTCCTCTTTTTGCTTACATTTTTATTTAATGTTGAACACTTATAATATTTATATTAGAAGTTTAAGATCCTTATTTGCTAATTCCAAAATGTATGTCATTTCTGGGTCTTTTTGTATGATTTTCTTTTTGGTTATGTATCACATATTTGTGCTTCTTCATGTGACCAGCAACTTCTGATTGTATGTTGGACATTATGAATTTTGCATTGGCTTTTATTGACTTCCTTTAAAGAGTGTTAGAGTTTGTTATGATAGGCAGTTAAGTTACTTGAAGAGCAGCTTGATTTTTTTCAAGAATTATTTTAAAGCATTGTTAACGTCCACAGAAGTCTTTACTCAAGGGTTAATTTAGCATTACTACTAATGGATGATCCTTTTGGCCTTTATAATGAATGTACCATGTATCTTGCATGTCTGGTGGGAGACCTAATGAATCCCAACCTTGTATGGGCTCTGGGAATTGTGGCTTACAGCTCCTTGGTAATTGTTTTCTTCCCTGGCAAGGTTTCTTTGTCTAGCCTCATGGGTTTCCCCATTGCATGGGCAGACTTTCAGCCAAAGACTCAAGGACCCTATGCCGATTTCTGGAGCTCTTTGTCTGTGCAGTGCCCTCATCTCCACACTGTTCCTTACAAATTCTAGCCCCTTTGTCCTCCTCTCGTCTGATTTCTGTCTCTTCAATTTAGTAAGATACTTAGGCTCTGTTTGGTTTCTGCCTTTTCGTGCCATGTTCTGGAAATTGTGTCAGGCAGAAATCAGGTAATTGTAACTCTTACCTAGTTTCCATTCTCTGTCATCACAGTTCTGCACTGCCTGTTGTCAAATCCTAAAATAGTTGCTGTAATATTTTGTCCAGTTTTATAGTTATTTATAACCAGAGGACAGAAGTAGAAACCAATGGCCTGAATTAGATCCTTTTAATAAAGCAAATAAAAAGTAGAAAAATAAGAGTTTTAAGGTACAATGGGAGTTTGAATCTTGCTGTTGACATTACTAAAAGGGTAGAAGAAAAAGGGACCTTAAAAATTCATGTAGGCCAGGCACAGTGTCTCATGGCTGTGTAATCCCAGCACTTTGGGAGGCCAAGGAGGAAGGATTCCTTAAGACCATGAGGTCAAGATCAGCCTGGGCAATGTAGAGATACCCCATCTCTACAAAAAAGCAAAAACATTAGTTGAGTGTTGTGGCATGCACTTGTAGTCCATGCCACTCAGGAGGCTGAGGTGAGAGGAATGCTTGAGCCCAGAAGTTTGAGGTTATAGGGAGCTGTGATTGCACCACTGCATTCCAGCATGGGTGACAGAGCAAGTCTGTTTCAAAAAAAAGTCATGTTATTGAATGCCTATTTAAAAAGTATTAAGACTGAGGGGAAGGAAAGCAAAATAATGTGCCTGTTGATGCCTGATTTGTGGCTTTACAGTTTGGATGGACAGAACCTGGGTCTCTTTATACCTAGATCATTGTTAGTAATTGGAGTGTACTATCTTCTTGCCATTTCAACTGAGTAGAGAGTATATCATTGCAATTGTCACTAGCTGTGGTAAAAATGATACTAACAGTCCATCCGCTGAGGTTTTAAGCATATTCCTTCTTGCCCTTGGTTGCATTAAATTTTAGTTTTGATTTTATCTTTCTTATGCAATGTTTTATAGAATCTGACTTAATAGCATTATTTTATAGCATCTGACTTAATATTACCTATCTTGTTAAATCTAAAAATATATTTATAGAGACCAGCAAAAAGCTGTGAAATTGAAAACATAGATAAAAATATTTTATATTTATTTATTTATTTATTTATTTATTTATTTATTTTTTAAACAGTTTCCCTCTTGTTGTCTAGGCTGTAGTGCAATGGCATGATCTCAGCTCACTGCAACCTCTTCCTGCTGGGTTCAAGTGATTCTCCTGCCTCAGCCTCCCAAGTAGCTGGGATTACAGACATGCGCCACCATGCCTGGCTAATTTTGTATTTTTAGTAGAGATGGGGGTTTTACTATGTTGGTCAGGCTTGTCTCCAATTCCTGACCTCAGGTGATCCACCCACCTCGGCCTCCCAAAGTGCTGGGATTACAGGCATGAGCCACCACACCCTGCCTTTATTGTTTTTATTTATTTACCATGTGTTATTGACTACTTTATATTTCTCTATTTCTCATTTACTAGCCGAATTGACTAGCATTTTAGTATAATGAATAATGTGCCTCAATGATTTAAAAAATTTGCATCACTTTGCTTCCTTTTCTTATTCAAGGATATTTCTTTAATGGGAAAAATGTACCGCAAAACATCAAGTATGCAAGCAGAAACACCTGAGATACAAGCAGAGCATGGATTTCAGATGGGTGCTGAGGAATCACAAACGGTAAAGCTTTAATAAAAATCCTCCTTGCCTCTGTTAAAGTAACAGCATGCTTTCTGTTGCTTGAATGTTTATATAGAGAGTTAAAAAAATTTCTCTGGTGTATTTTAGAAGTGTGTTTACCTGTGAGAACATCTAACTCGATACCACACTGGGAGTCTTGGGCCATTTTGACTCACTGTTGCTGGCTACCATGGACCTTCTGAGCTAAGGCCCCAAACTCTTTTTAGAAGGGGAAGATTTTAACAATTCTGATTTAGAGACATTTAGATCTAGAAGGTAGTTGGATAATTAATTAAAAATTGTTAGCTTCTAAGAAAGAACAACTTTTGTCTGTATTCAGCTAGAAGAATTGTTAAAAGCATTGCGAGGGGAGAATTTGGTTGAGAAATGTGGACAGTTGGTGACAGAAATTTGTTGTGGAAATAAATATTTCTTTTTATCCATCATTGGTAAAATAACCATTGGATTCAAAGCAATCTGGAACATATTCCTTGTGAATGGGAAGTGTCTCCCAGTGTACAGAAACTCACATTTACATAGAAAAGTGATAACCTGATGGTCAGTTCCTCTACAAAGAATTCATAAAATGTTACCATTAAATTACAAGCTCCTTTGGTTCCTGAAAATATGACCCCCGCATACATAAAATTGTGATCATATTTCATTTTTAGGTTAGCATATCATGTTCAGAAAGTGCATGGAATTTTTTCTTTTCACAAAAGCTATGAATCCTGTAATGTTAGAGTTACCCCAAATGGTTGAACTCCTAGAGTTTGAGATGCTTTCAGGCCATATCTTTTTCTCCTTTGTATTCTTATTACTAGCCTCATGACCCAGCATGAGATGGTACTAGTAGCCCTTTGTAATAGTATGTGGATATATCAATTAGGAAGCCTTACCATATATGCTGTGGACTTAAGACTGACATCTAGGGTAGCTGCCTCTAGTTGACACTGTTTACAAACAGATATCAAACCTTCTGACCTCGACGCCTCTAACAGGTATAGTAAACTGAAAATACAATATCAGTTAGGTTTAGCAAAATAGAAATCTTCATTAATAGAATAAACTTAATACCATTCACTACATTCATGTAAAGTATAAGGAAAGATATCATTTTGAAGGAAAATGTGAAAAAGGCCAACAATCAGGTATCTAGCTTAGATACCATCTTGATTATTTAAAATAAAGAGTTAAACAAAAATATTAATTTATTTATAATTCTGCTGGAACCATTCCCTAAGCATTGACATTTACAGGCAATCACTGAACCTCTTCTGGCCTCTGGCTTTTTATAAGGAAGCTGACCCACTTCTCTAGAGATAAAATACTTTTCGACTTGGTACCTGGTCATGGACGCTTCCATCCATCCCTCCTGCCCTCAGACATCAGACTCCATCTTCTTTGGCCTTTGGACTCTTGGACTTACTCTAGTGGTTTGCCAGGGGCTTTTGGGCCTTTGACCACAGACTGAATGCTGCCTTGTCAGCTTCCCTACCTTTGAAGATTTTGGACTTGGACTGAGTCACTATTGGCTTCATTCTTCCTCAGCTTGCAGAGGACACACACAAAAACTAAATACAAAAAAAGATATATCCCTTGTAAAGATGTGAGTCAAGCCAATGGAGCGGCTGAATGGCTCCCTGCTAAATATTCAAATGTCCCCCACCCTCTTGCAGTTAGATGGGGTCATGTAGCTGTTTGTGGCCAATGGGGTGCGAAGGAAAGTGATATGGTCACTGTTCTGTGGTGACCATAAAAGCTGTGTTTTGGTGTGAAGGAACTACAACCTGGAAGCAGCCTAGATGGCTGAGCTACCATAAGAAGTATGCCTGCCCTAAAGAGCCACTTTGATTTGTAGTCAACACACTGTCCCAGTGTGTTGAACCACTATTTTGTTTTTGGCGGGGGGGTAGTTGGGCATAGCCTATCCTGATGACCAGTGACAAAAATGAAGCTAAAAAAGTTTAAGTAACTTGGCTAAGGTCAAACATCTATTAATTAACAGATCCCGGATTTGAATTCAGTCCCATTTGGTTAAAAACATGTTCTTAATCTTTCCATAACACCATCCAGTAGCTTTATAAAAGCATGAGCTCCTGCTTGATGACTTGTGATATGGAAAAAAAAAAGAACCAACATGAGTTCAAGATTAAAGTTCTATTTTACAAAATTAAATTTCTTGGTCTAGCTATACCTTCTTGCATAATAAAGAAAATTTCATAGTATTTGGTATTGTATGCCATCTTTTACCCATAACAACTGTGGGGTAGCTGTAGTTTTGAGACAAGGGCTGAGGAAAATAATTTGCCAGCGTTCACATTTTTCTTAAGTCAATTTGAGCTTCTCTTTCTAAATCTTCAGAGGAAACTTATCACCTGTGCTTAGTTTCAAGCGTGCATTTTCATATTCATCTTGTTGTCAGATAGAATCTGTTGCATCACTGAAAAGCCTAGAAGGACCAATTAAAAAAAAAAGCATTCTCACACATTTACTTTTTCCAACAGAGTATGCATAAGGAACTTCCTGAAGCCATGTCAAGTATTCTCCAGATTGAACAAGAGGATATAGAATGGGGAACCTCAGAAGTAGAAAGCACAGTATTTAAACCTCAGGAAATTTCGCAAGTTCAGCCAGCAGAGGAATTAAGTAAACCTTTGGAAGATGGACAGCCCACAAGTGATTCAAAAGAAGCCAAGCGGGTGTCTTTAACGGTAAGAAACTATTTATGTTGGAAACACCTAAGAATTACGAGAATTGAGGATGTGCAGGTGTGAAGAATTGGCCCAGGCAAGGACCAAGGTATGGGGCTGGGGGTGGGGGTGATGGTGTGTTCACTCTGAAAAGGGGGCCTCAGAAGTGCAAGATGCCCATTTAGGAAAAGAGAACATGTTTTTTGAGGATTTCTAGTGTCAACCCTAATTGCAACTCTGGGGAAAGAAAACAGATTTTCAAGGAGGGAAGGAATTTTTAGGTCTTTTAGAAATTGGCCAAGAATCTTCTAGTTACCATCTCGAGGAAGTCAGGAATTGTAGTCCAGGAAATAGAACTTGGTGAACTTTATAGCTTTTATAACTTTACCTAATTTAAGTTCATACTAACCCCTGGGTCTTTTTCTACTGTGAGAATCTATTGTTTACATAATTTTTTATCATATTTGCACATCACCCTGCCTTTACAGTAGGGTTTAAGTTTCCTCTTATCCATGGCTTTACTTTCCGAGGTTTTAGTTAGCTGTGGTCAACTGCAGTGTGGAGATAGGTGAATATACATAGGACAGTAAGATATTTAGAGAGAGAGAGAGAGACCATATTCACATAACTTTTATTACAGTATGTTATAATTGTTCTATTGTATTATTATTGTTGTTAATCTTATACTGTGCTTAATTTATAAATTAAACTTTATCTTCCATACGTATGTATGGGAAAGAGCATAGTATATATAGGGTTCAGTACTATCCAAGGTTTCAAGCATCCACTGGGGTTTGGAACATATGCCTCACAGATAAGGGAGGATTGTTGTATTAATTCTTTTCGTTCCTGTGAGTCACTTTTTTTACTTAAATAGATTTATTTAAAAATAGATATATTATTAGCATTTAAAAAAAGGCCCTTTTCCTTGAACCACAGCATGTCATCTTGATTATCAACAGAAATCCTCTCCCAAACTGATTCAGATGGATGCCCCTTCTTGGGTAAATAGCCTTTCTGGTCAGTTCTTCTACTTCTGCGCCTCCCCTCCCCACCAATGATTATGTTCCTACTACGGTTCACTGAGGTCAACTGGCAATTACTCGTTCTTCAATTTTTGCTGGAGACTCCCAATTCTGAAACCTGGGATTTGTCTGTGGCCTTCCTCTTTTCTTGCTGTTTACATATAAATCAATCTCCAAGGCTTGGAATTTCCCAAATGTTATTGCTTCTATATTTTTCTTCTCTTTTCTAGTTACCCCATCCTAATCTGGGTCCTGGTGACCTTATGTCTGAATTAATGCAGTGGTTATTCTTCATTTCTTAAGCCCTGTTTTCTCAGGTTTATCCTGTATGACACTAGCCTATTGGTCTTCCACGAATAACAGGTAATAAGGAAGATCCACAAGTAATAGTAGACCAGAGGAAATACCCTACTGCTTTCAGGGACAAGGGTCTTATCCTGTGGTTGGTGACTGACCCCATCAGTCATGCCCTTTACAAAGCATGCATTTGGATGTTTCTAAGAAGCATTCTAGGAATAATGTTTTGATCAGAGTGACTTGGTGAATGGATTACAAGACTCTAAATTGAAATGAGAAATATTTCAAGGGGAGGAGAAGAGAATGTCTAATAAAATATTATGCCTTATTGTTGTGGGATATTGTGGTACCCTTTAGAAATGCCATAAAAATAGCACCTAACTATTCCCACCAAGTCTTCACTAAGAATCATATGTTTATTTATTTGTGTTAACATCTCAAGATTAGTTGTTATCCATGAACTTTGCACTGTATGTGGACATTTGAGTCCATAAGGGTAGTTTATAGCATTTCTGCTCAAAATGCTAGCAGAATGAGGAACAACGTACTCCAGCAAGCCTGGCCAGGTTGAGGATTAAGCAGACAAGAAGACCTTTTCTGACATGATTAAACAGAAGTAGCACAGAGGTGTGATAAAGGAACAGTGCAGGACTTTAATTGCTCAGATACATGCTGGAAGGTTTTGTTCAGCAGAAAAAGTGAGAATTTGATCAATCCTTACCTGATTGGCCATTTCTACTCTTAGAAGCTCATTAGTATAATGAAGGTAGTTAGTATTTTTGTCTAAATCATGACGAACAAAAGAAAGTTAGATAGAAATAATAGTGATTCTGTGAATAAATAACTGACACAAAGCCAATAATAGGATGGTTGAACATTTTAGAAAATGTCAGTAAAAGTCTATTAAAAATATTGATATGATCTCATGACCTGATATTATAAGTTGAAGGAAGTTTAACAGGTATGGAGATGCCCTAAATCCCCCAAATTCTCACAGAACATGTATGAGTAATCTATTGCATTTAGAGTTTTAAAAATATCCATAGAAATGCATATCCATATAAAAATATAAAGGTGGCATGTTGCTATAAAATTGTACCAAGAAAGCCGAGATCCAGAATGGGTTTAGTCCTATGAATAATGTTAAGAACAAAAACAAGTGTTTTTGATGTTAGTTTTGGAGCAAAGAGAGGGGGAATAAAAAGAAAGATAACTCTGTCATTTGGATGAATAGTGTGATGACAAGAGATGACAGAGCTGCCTTAATTTATTTTTGGAAAAAGGTTGAGGTTTTAAATAAACAGAAGTATAACAAAGAGAAAAGGAAGCTGATAAACTTATGCTTTGTGTCTTTTAAATCTGACAGGGAGAATGATCTTTAGTTTAGAAAGAAGAATTCATAATAGAAACTTAAAGTCCAAGATTTGTAAAAGATTTGAAGAGTTAACTTGGATATCTGAGCCTGTTGGATGGCTCAGATAGATGAGTTTATGCTTGTAGCACCTTTCAGCAGCAGCTTTGGGGAGCTGCTGCAGTGGGAGAGGTGCCAATGCCTGGAGCCTGGCAACTGCAAATATGACTTCTATATTTTTTTTTAAGTGTAAGGGTTAAGATTTCTGCAATCTATGCATTGATCTTGGACAAAACTCTAGAATTATTAAATGACTCATTAAAATAATTGTGTCTGAACCCTTCTAAAAGGAAGTGGTAATCACTTGGAGTATGGGCCCCTTAAGGTAAGTCATGGAAGACTGACCTCATTTATTTTCCTAGAATTCCTAGACTGAGCATCATAAAAATGTCAGACCTGGTGTTCAACATGAGGATTGTGGGAAGAGCACAGGCTCTGCAACTAGATGTCCAAGGACCGAATCCTCTCTTTACCCTTTACTAGTAGTGTGACCTTAGGCAAAGTACTGAACTCTACTACATGTCTGTATTGTAAAATGAGGATAACGACAGTGCCCACCTCATATTGTTTTTGTGAGGATTGTATGTAGATGCTACAATATAAAGCACTTAGAACAATGCCTGACACACAGAAAACTCAATAAACATTAGTTATTGTTATTATCATTGGAATATCAGCAACTGCTTACGAAAGCCTCCCAATGATGGTTTTGTAGAGGAGATTGTGGTCAGGTGGACTGTTAAATGGATTTGTAATTAGTTATGCAAAGGATGCACAACTAGTATATGGAAGTCTCGTGGACTGCTACAGGGCTGTGTCCAATTCAATATATTTCCTAATGGTTTAGATGATGTATTAGTCTGTTTTCATGCTGCTGATAAAGACATATCCAAAACTGGGCACTTTACGAAAGAAAGAGGTTTAATGGGCGCACAGTTCCACATGGCTGGGGAGGCCTCACAATCATGGTGGAAGGTGAAATGTGTGTCTCACATGATGGCAGACAAGAGAAGAGAATGAGAGCCAAGAGAAAGGAGTTTCCCCTTATAAAACCGTCAGATGTTGTGAGACTTATTAACTACTATGAGAACAGTATGGAGGAAACGGCTCCCATGATTTACTTATCTCCCACTGGGTCCCTCACACAATATGAGGGAATTATAGGAACTACAATTCAAGATGAGATTTGGGTGGGGACAAAGTCAAACCATATCAGATGAGAAAATGGAAAACTTACTGACTGAATTTGTAGATAGCATCAAAAATGCTACTGGTAAGATGTGTCTGGAGGAGGTGGAGCAAGATGGTGGAATAGAAGGCTCCACTGATTGTCCCTTCCACCCCACAGTACACCAGGACACAGAACCTGACTGTAACTTCATATCACTGAAAGAGGCATTGAAGAGGTAGGATAAATAGTCTTGCATTGCCGACACCACCCTGCCCTGACCCGCTGGCAGCAGAGGGGTGGTGCAGAAAGTGTTTCTGTGCCCTGGGGAGAGGGAGAGCCAGCAAGTGTGAAGTATTGAACTCACTGCTGTCTTGTTATAGCAGAAATCAAAACTTAACCAAACTCAGCTGGTGCCTGCCCACAGAGGGTGCATTTAAATGAGCCCTAGCCAGAGAGGAATAGCTGATCTCAACGGTCGGAGCATGATTTCTTAAAAGCCTTGCCACCACAGGCTAACATGCTCTGAGGCCCCAAATAAATTTGAAGGGCAATGTAGGCCACAAGTACTGCAACACGTAGGTAAGTCCTAGGGTTGAACTGGGCTCAGAGATAGTGGACTAGGGAGGCATGCAACCTACTGAGACACCAGCCAGGGCAGCTAAGGAGTGCTGGCATAACTCCTCCCCTAACCCCAGGCTGCATAGCTCATGGCTCCAAAGGAGACTCCTTCCTTTTGCTTTAGAAGAGGAGAGGCAAGAGTGGGGAAGACTTTGTCTTGCATGTTAGATACCAAGCTCAGCCACAGCAGGATAGGGCATTGGTCAGTGCCATGAGGCCCTAGCTCCCAGACATTTCTAGACATGCCCTGGGCTGCCATAAAGAGAGGGACCTAATTGTAAGATTCATCACCTCCTAACTGAAAAGTCCTTGGGCTCTGAATAACTAGAAAGGATACCAGTTGAGGGCCTTGGGTGAGACCCTGACACTTGCTGGTCTGAGGCGAGACTCAGCACATTCCCAGCTGTGGTGGCTACAGGGTGAGACCCCGGCTTTAAAAAGGGGAGGGAAAAGTAAAGAGGACTTTGTATTGTACCTTAGGAACCAGCTTGGCTACGGG